TGCCAAACTTGTGGTTTCTGAGTAGAGTAACCAGTAAAATATTCAGATTCGGGTTACGACACAACGGAAACCACCATGTTCAGCTGAAATTTGACATGGTGGTTTCCGTTGCGTCGTAACCCGAATCTGAATATTTTACTGGTTACTCTACTCAGGTGTGAAGAATGCTTTGCCTAAACGGGTTTGTATCCCATGGTGTGAAGAATGCATTTATGGACACAAGAGGGCAGTAAAGGAACAGTATGGAAATATCAAGGCAAGCTCTGGGAGCCATTAAATAATGCACACACCTCAGTTTGACATTTGGGTGCCTCATTTGCTATTTTAAAAGATGCTACTTACTGGAATGCAAGCAGCAGATGTTTTTACCCCCCTGGAAACGAATAGGTAAAAATTTCTGACACGTCTTGTTGGTAGTACATTCATATACAGTGGTACGTTGGTTCTCAAATTTAATCTGTTCCGGAAGTCCGTTTGGCTTCTGAGATGTTCAAAAACCAAGGTGCGGCTTCTGATTGGCGCAGGCACCCTGGAAGCAATAGCTGACAACCATATCGGAAGTCTGGCTTCTGAAAAATGTTGAAAACCAGAACACTTACTTCCGGAATTTGGCGTTTGGGAGCCGAAGTGTTCAAGAACCAAGGCGTTCGAGAACCAAGGCTCCACTGAACCTATTTGGGCTGAATTACATACGCTTATTGTAAGGGACGTGGGTGGCGCTGTGGGTTAAACCACAGAGCCTAGGACTTGCCGATCAGAAGGTTGACGGCTCGAATCCCCGCGACGGGGTGAGCTCCCGTTGCTCGGTCCCTGCTCCTGCCAACCTAGCAGTTCGAAGGCACATCAAAGTGCAAGTAGATAAATAGGTACCGCTCCGGTGGGAAGGTAAACGGTGTTTCCGTGTGCTGCTCTGGTTCGCCAGAAGCGGCTTAGTCATGCTGGCCACATGACCCGGAAGCTATACACTGGCTCCCTCGGCCAATAAAGCGACATGAGCACCGCAACTCCAGAGTCGGCCATGACTGGACTTAATGGTTAGGGGTCCCTTTACCTTTACCTTACATACACTTATTATGTATTCCCATATCAATTAAGGCTTCACCACGGAAAACCATGCAACGGAACTTGCTTTCAAACTGAGGAGCATTCAGGACACATCCCACAGAACTGAGTGGCATATTTATCTTTCTCAACATTGCCTGTGCAAACTTTGCCTGCTACCTTACCCCCTGCCTTGGACGGTTCAGTTAAATTGGCGATTAACCCATAACCAGCATTCTGAAGGGATGCTGAACGTGATGGTGAGTGCAGAATCCCACTTTGTGGGGATCCCAGTATCCATTTTTAACAGCAAGCTTCTAGACCTTATGTATCTTTGAAGATACACTTGGATGGGAAGGCATTGGGGAGTTCCTGCCGGCACCTCATAAAGTAACCAAACAAACCCCTGTGTTGCAAAGAGAACGTGAGCAATGTCTAGGCAACACGATGACCATGTACATACGCAAAAGACAATCTTTTATAGAATTCCTTCAAACCATAACAAATCCAAAATGAAATCTTTAGTCTCAAAATCTCTGAAAATCTTTAAATGAAGAGAGGGACAGTGGTACGTACTTAATTCGGTCCGGAGGTCCGTTCTTAACCTGAAAACTGTTCTTAACCTGAAGCACCACTTAGATGTCCATTAGAACGCATTAATTCATTTTGAATTGCTGGAGCAATATACAGTGGTACCTCGGGTTAAGTACTTAATTCATTCTGGAGGTCTGTTCTTAACCTGAAGCACCACTTTAGCTAATGGGGCCTCCTGCTGCTGCCACCGCGCCGCCGCTGCCGCGCAATTCCTGTTCTCATCCTGAAGCAAAGTTCTTAACCCGAGGTACTATTTCTGGGTCAGTGGAGTCTGTAACCTGAAGCGTGTGTAACCTGAAGCGTATGTAACCTGAGGTACCACTGTATCAGACTTTGTACGATGAAAGACAAGTTGTGAAGCTTTGTGTATTAGCAAATATGATGTCCAACACTGAACAGTGATTCCAGATACTGACTACTTCTTCGTAGAATTCTTCGTCAGTGTGGTGGGAGGATATAGAATTGCTTCATAAACCCATCTTATTTCGAATGAATGTATGTAAATGAAAACATCAAATGCTGTGGAACAGTGCTCATGTAATGATGTAGTCACTGCCCAGCAGTTCCACAGCATTTGATATTTTCATTTACATTCATTCATTCAAAATACGATAGGTTTATGAAGCAATTCTATATCCTCCCACCACGCTGACGAAGAATTCTACGAAACAGTAGTCAATATCCGGAATCACCTTTCAGTGTTGGACATCATATTTGCTGAATACACAAAGCTTCACAGCTTGTCTTTCATCGTACAAAGTCTGGCACCTCAGAAACCCAGAGGGATGGCTTGCGGGTGAGGCTTCAGGACTCTGCTAAAGTCTTTGCATTTATAATCTCCCCCTGTCCCCAGAGACACCAGTGGCTTTGTGTGGAAGTGAAGGATGCTCTCGCTGTGTGTTTGTGCGTCCCTGCGTCCCCTTGCCGGTTTAAGTCTTCCCAATTAGAGCATGTTTCATTTGTCCCACGAAACTCCATGGGACTCGTGGCAGAGCCCCCTCCTCTACCTTCACCCTGGCTTCCAATCCACAGCCCCAGTGGCATAGAATCATAATTAGAAGGGGCCCAAGGATCAATCTAGTCCAGCCCCCTGCAATGCAGGAATATGCAGCGGTCCCATATGGGGACCGAACCTGCAACCTTGCCGTTATCAGCACCACTCTCCAAACAGCTGAGCCATCCAGTGAGCTGAGTGTGGCCGTCATGGGCCAGGAGTCGGCTTCATCTGCTGAGCAGCAGCCTGAAGGAGCAGAAAGTGGCTCCACCTGTGGCTGCTCAGCCTCCTTGCTCCTGATGAGAACCAGCTGGCTCCAGCTTTCTTAAGAGGGTTTTCAGCCTCAGTCGGTTGCTGGAAACAATATTCCTCTTTCCTGGCCAGACCTCGCTGCTTCTAGCTTCTCATGACCTTGGACCCTTGGTTTTCTTGAGCCCCGGATTGTCTGGCTACATGAACCAAGATATTCCTGACCTTAGGACTGGACTGGACCTTGTGCATGGGCTCTGCCTCCAGGCAAAGCGACGGGACGACCCAGGAAATGTTTCTATAGATGTGAGTACCTTTTGATGATCCATGGAACTGCTGGGAGCTTTCACTGGTGTTGCCTCTAGCTGCATGAAGGCTGCTTTGTGGAGTGCCCAGCTGGTACAAGTGGGCATATTTTGGAGTGCTCCAGGCTTGTGTGTGTGAGAGAGATCTTCCTTCCATCCTTCCATTGTAGAATCATAGAATTGTACAGTTTGGAAGGGACCCCGAAAGTCATCCAGTCCCAGGGCCAAAATTAGGCTTTCTGTCACCTGGGGCAAAGACCTAGTTTGTCATACGCACACCATGTGTGTTTGCGTACACGCACAAAAAAACCATATTTGTTTATAAAGGGCATAAAAAGGAGCTTGAAAGAGGCCGGAGAAGAGCTGTATCTCCAAGTAGTAAAACTGTCTGTGTGTACAGTGTTGGATTTACATATAAGTTAAACAAGCTACAGCTTGGGGCCCCACTCTCTCCCCCCCCCCCCCAACAAAAAAATTAAAGGGAAAAAAAACACTGGATGTACATTTCAAAAATATAAGATAAAAATAAAATAAAACCTACATACAGCAACAGTGTTTTGTGTTGTGTCGGCTCCTATGATGTAAGTAATGGATTCCGCCTGCTCCCTGAAATATCACTGGTTTGCTCATTTCTATATACAGTGGTACCTTGGCTCTCAAACTTAATCCGTTCCGGAAGTCTGTTCCAAAACCAAGGCGCGCTTTCCCATAGAAAGTTATTGCCATATGCCAATATTAAGTTTGTTATGAATAAAAAATCATTTTAAGTTAGAGCTTAATAATTATTTCACTATTGATATACGTCTTAATTGTATTTCACTATTAATATACTTAATTGTATTTCAGTTCAACAATTACTTTGATAAAATACATATTTAGTTATGTGCCCATGGCTTTAGATACCTATTAGGTCCGTAAATGACCATATAGCATCTATTCAACACAAAAAAACAGCGATGATTTGTTGTTGACAAAGGACAGCTGGACGTATAAAGGGCCCCATTACCTTCAGTAGCTTAGGGCCTCATCAAACCTAAATCTGGCCCTGAATGCGAGTGAACCAGTTTCTCCTTTGTGCCAGCTATTTTGGCAGAGTATCTGTGCTAGAGATGCGCACTCAGATGCATATTTATTTTATTTTATTTATATCCTGCCCTATACCCGGGGGGGGGTCTCAGGGCGGTTCACAGAACAAGGGCGTTCACATGCATACATGTGGGGAAACTCAGAAAGTTCTAGGATTTTGTTCGTCTCCTTTGTAATATTGGGTTGTAGTCAAGTCCTATTCATAGTAGTCTCACTGAAATGAATGAAACTTTGTCAATCATGTTCATTAACATCAACTGATCTACTTTAAGCACGATTAGCATGGGCTAGCTCCATCTATCTATGGATTTTGCAGGGGTGGGCAGGGTCCAGGATATTCACAGAAGAACTTTGTTTGTAATGGGGGAATTTATGCGCACAGCCCAAAGAGGTAGAGAAGAAAGATTATTTATTTTTGTGTGTTGACTTTCCTATTGTAAGCTGTTTGGGGCAGGGACTTGTTTGTCAATTGCCCAGTACGCTCATAAGGTGCTATAGGGAAAACGTGTGAGAGAAGCACTGAGCTCCATTTGACATAATGCTATTTAATGCAAACAGTTTCTTTGTGTGTGTTGACTTTCCTATTGTAAGCTGTTTGGGGCCGATCCTGGGTGTGTATATAAAATAACGCCCAGGAGATTTGGGGAAGGTGATCTTTGGGCGGCCGGGGCGAGAGCGCAGAGGGGCGGATGGAGAGCCAGTCCCCGAGGGGGCGGGCAAGGCGCGCTCCCTCCGCGGCGCTGGGAAGGCCCTTCTTCCTGGGAGGGGAGGACGGGGGAGGAGAAGGAGGGAGCTGCGAGCCAAGGCGGGGGCGATCCCACCCACCCGCTCGCCCCACTGACTCCCGTCGGACAGCTACTTCCTCTCGCCTGATCGTGGGATCCTCCTGCCCCGGCTGCCCCATACCGCACCATCGTCGGCGGCAGCAGCAGCTCGTCCGATCCTCGGCGGAGGAAGCCTCGGGAGAGCCGCTCGCTCCTGGCTCTTCCTCCTCCTCCTCCTCCGCAGCAGCCAAAACTTCTCTCCAGCTCGGAAACCTCCCGCTCCGCCGACATGGGCAAAGCGAGCGCCGCTTTCCGTGTCTTTGGTCTGATCCTGTTCGCCTCCGCGGTTTGGGGTAAGTGAGTTCGCGGTTGTTGTTTAGTTGTGTCCGACTCTTCGTGACCCCATGGACCAGAGCACACCAGGCACTCCTGTCTTCCACTGCCTCCCGCAGTTTGGTCAAGCTCATGTTAGTCTCGAGAACACTGTCCAACCTTCTCGTCCTCTGTCCTCCCCTTCTCCTTGTGCTCTTTCCCAACATCAGGGTCTTTTCCAGGGAGTCTTCTCTTCTCACGAGGTGGCCAAAGTATTGGAGCCTCAGCTTCAGGATTTGTCCTTCCAGTGAGCACTCAGGGCTGATTTCCTTCAGAATGGAGAGGTTTGATCTTCTTGCAGTCCATGGGACTCTCAAGAGTCTCCTCCAGCACCAGAATTCAAAAGCACCAATTCTTCAGCGATCAGCCTTCTTTATGGTCCAGCTCTCACTTCCATACATCACTACTGGGAAAACCATAGCTTTTACTATATGGACCTTTGTTGGCAAGGTGATGTCTCTGCTTTTTAAGATGCTGTCTAGGTTTGTCATTGCTTTTCTCCCAAGAAGCAGGCGTCTTTTAATTTCGTGGCTGCTGTCACCATCTGCAGTGATCATGGAGCCCAAGAAAGTAAAATCTCTCACTGCCTGCATTTCTTCCCCTTCTATTTGCCAGGAGGTGATGGGCCCAGTGGCCATGATCTTCGGTTTTTTGATGTTGAGCTTCAGACCATATTTTGTGCTCTCTTCTTTAACCCTCATTAAAAGGTTCTTTAATTCCTCCTCACTTTCTGCCATCAAGGTTGTGTCATCTGCATATCTGAGGTTGTTGATATTTCTTCCGGCAATCTTAATTCTGGTTTGGGATTCATCCAGCCCAGCCTTTCGCATGATGAATTCTGCATATAAGTTAAATAAGCAGGGAGACAATATACAGCCTTGTCGTACTCCTTTCCCAATTTTGAACCAATCAGTTGTTCCATATCCAGTTCTAACTGTAGCTTCTTGTCCCACATAGAGATGTCTCAGGAGACAGATGAGGTTATCAGGCACTCCCATTTCTGTAAGAACTTGCCATAGTTTGAAGCAAGTTAGTTAGCGGCACACACACACAAAAAAGGTGCCTCTCCCGTCCTGCAAGTTTTTCCGCTGGCGAGCATCTCCCGTCTCTTTTCGCGCATCTCCTTCCCTAACAAAATTCCTACTTTTAGACTCCTTTGCAAGCCGAGAAGGGAAACTTGGAAGGCGACTTTCCTTCAGGGAAACTTTGTGTGTGTGATCTTTTCAATTCTTTTCTTTGAATCACTCTTTGGAGCAAAGCAAGCCTTTGCAATTCCCTGTCCTTAGGGAAAGGGTCCAATCTGGATCAACGTGAGTGATTTGTTGGGAATAGGGTCTCCTCCTAGAGGCGCGCTTCCTCACCTCCCAACCCCACCCCTCAGGGTCCAAGTTACTTTGGAGGCATTGGAATGCCAGCGAGGATTTGATTTAATCCGGACTTACCACCCTTCTCGCAGAAATAAAGTTGCTTCTGTTTGTTGAGCCGTCATTTGGATTCGTTCGTGGGGAGGTTATACGAGGTCGGTGCCAAGCAATTGCTATCCCACACTATTCCGTTGAGTTTCCCTGTCACTTTACTTACCGCGGAAAAGTTTGATACAGTGGTACCTCAGGTTACATACGCTTCAGGTTACAGACTCTGCTAACCCAGAAATAGTGCTTCAGGTTAAGAACTTTGCTTCAGGATGAGAACAAAAATCGTGCTCCGGCGGCACGGCAGCAGCAGGAGGCCCCATTAGCTAAAGTGGTGCTTCAGGTTAAGAACAGTTTCAGGTTAAGTACGGACCTCCGGGACGAATCAAGTACTTAACCTGAGGTACCACTGTATTGTAAAATGGCGACTGGACCAAGGTGAACCTGTGTTGTTTTGCAATCTTAATCTCTCTTCTGGAAGCACCTCTGTTTCCTTTGGCGCTATAAAGATTCATTCTGTCTGTGGAGCTGTTAAGGCTGGTTCTTGACTCGACTCTCCCCGTTGTAACTTGCAAGGCTCAGCGTCCAGTCCACAGGCTCATCCAGGCAACTGCCATTCCACCCCATAATATCAAAGGAAGGATCCTCATGCAGAACAGTGCCCGCTTCTTTTCTCAAAACAATATAAAAGGTGACTCCAGGCAGGGGCGGCTTAATGGCACTTCCAGACTGTCTCTGCTTTCGATATCACATACCGGCCAACTGAGGTTGCGCAATTACAGGTGATGAGTAGGAAAAGTTGCACAATAAACCTGCTACCTCCCAAAGGCAAGACTTTTTGTGATAAAGAGAGTCATGGGGCAATGCCCTAGAAAGCGTGATGCATCTTCCCAGCCAAAATAATGAATGCTCGGTAAATAAGTTGTCAGGAAGTGACTAAATTTGCAAATGGGATGGCTAGAACAGGAGTCAGCAAATTTTTTCAGCAGGGGTTCCTCGGATCTAGTCGGGGGCCGGACTATTTTTTGAAGGGGAAAAAATGAACGAATTCCTATGCCCCACAAATAACCCAGAGATGCATTTTAAATAAAAGGACACATTCTACTCATGTAAAAACATGCTGATTCCTGGACCGCCCACAGATCGGATTTAGAAGGCAGTTGGGCCGGATCCGGCCCCCGGGCCTTAGTTTGCCTACTCATGGGCTAGAATATCACCAGCTCTTGGAGACATTCAAACAAGACCCCCAAAAATGGATTTAACAATGAGCCCTCAAAATTAGAAAAGGAATTGTTAAATAATACCAAAATCATTTCCAGACTGTACCAACTCCTCCTTGACTGGGAAGTCAGTGAGGAGGAGGTGAAGGCGGTAATGATTAAATGGGCGCAAGACATCAGGCGCACTATCATTATGAGTGAATGGGAAACCCTTTGGAAAACTAACATGAATTTTACGGCATGTTACACCATTAAAGAAAACATGATGAAAATGCAGTTTAGATGGTACCTTACACCATCAAAACTCTCCAAGATGTATAAAAATATTTCAGACAAATGCTGGCCGTGTGGAGAAACAAAAGGAGATATGTACCATTTGTGGTGGACGTGCTGAAAAATTAAAGAGTTCTGGAACCTTATTTATGATGAGATAAAAAAGATCTTTAAATTAACATTCTCAAAGAAGCCAGAAGCATTTCTGCTTGGAATTGTAGGCAGTGATATCCCAAAAAATATAAGAGAAATCTTTTTATATGCGACAGCCGCTGCCCGGTTATTAATTGCATTAAACTGGAAAGGGGGGAAAGTACCAACAGTAAGGGAATGGCAGAATAAGTTAATAGACTATGCAGAAATGGCTCAATTGACAAATAGATTAAGGGGAAATACGAAACAATCATTCATGCAAAAATGGGATATGTTCAAGAAATACCTACAAAAATATAATAACGACATAACATCTATGGCAGCGTTTGAATGACCCTTGTGTAAATTAAACATTAATAAATAAGGAGAAATGGTACGACATGTTATAAGAAAGTATTAGAAAATATATTAAGAGTAAGGTAATAAGTACATTCAGTGTTGTAAATGTAAAGTACATCGGGAAATGGCATAGTTTAGTTTATTGTATTCTACTTTGGTTTATTTTTGTTTAGTTAGAAAGTATAAGAAAAGAACGCGTATAAGTACAAGTTTAAATCAATAACAGTATAATTATTTAAAGTTGTTGTTATTCTTAGTTTTACCTTTTCTTTGTACGTTCTATTTAAGATTGTGTATGATATCCTTGGATGTCTATTATTATTATTATTATTATTATTATTATTTATTAATAATAATAATAAATTTGCAGATGGGTTGTTGAGATACAGCACGCCTGCAGCTTAGAAGCATTTAACTTGTGTGCGTTCAGCTTTCCATGCTTGGCAATTAAAAAAATTAAAAGAGCTGGGAGCTATAGCTCTTGTGAGGAGGTAAACTATAGTTCCCAGGTTTATTTGCTTTAAATGTTGGAGGCGTTTGTTCTAATGGTCCCATCCCCAAATTTGGTCTCTTCCCTGCTGAAACATGGACATGCTGTTCACACACCAATGTTCGTTACACCCACTCACTGCCTCCACCCCTGCCAAATACTTTAATCTCATTCTATTCCTGTGGTAATTTCTGGAGCTGCATTTGTTTTATGGCTCTGTGAAACCTTGACCTTGGCACTGGTTTGCCTCCAGAGATCTAGCCCCTCTCCTGAAATGCTGAGAGCATGCTGAGCTCCTCCTTTACCTAATACAATATGGCCGGGTATTGATTTTAGGTTTGCAGAGAGATGGAGTCACCGCCTTTTCCCATAGGACATTCGTAGTTCATTTCCCCACCCCTATTGTGTCCTGGGCAGAGTACATGCGTGTTAACCGGTTTGGCAAATTCTGATAATTCTTCCAAAGGAAGTCTTGAATCATTCCCTTTGACCTGAGCAAATAGTTAACAGAAGTGTTTTCTAGACGGGCAGGAAAGTGGATTAGGACAGTCTGTGGGTGGGAAACGAGCATGGGAACGGAATTGCATTTCATAATGACTGTTATTTATTTATTTATTGAATTATTGAATTTATATACTGCCCTATACCTGGAGGTCTCAGGGTGGTTCACAGAAAAGATCACAATATTTTAAATGAACATAAGAACAATACCCCCCCCCCCGAAAAGAGCCACATTTTAAAAGGGTATAGGATGGCCATCAGGTCAACCAAAGGCCTGGTTAAAAAGGAAAGTTTTTGCCTGGTGCCTAAAGTCCTATAATGAAGATGCCAGGCGAACTTCCCTGGGGAGAGCATTCCACAGACAGGGAGCCACTGCAGAGAAGGCCCCGTTCTCGTGTTGCCACCCTTCGGACCTCTCGAGGAGGAGCCGCACGAAGGAGGGCCTCAGAAGATGATCTCAGGGTCTGGGTAGGTTCATATGGAAAGAAGCAGTCCTTGAGGTATTGCGGTCCTGAGCCGTTTAAGGCTTTGTAGTCAAAACCTGCACTTTGAATTGGTTCCGGAAACTAATTGGTAGCCAGTGCAGTCAGACC